AACGGTTTGAAACATTTTTACTTAGGCCTGGCTCATGGCACGTGGACTTACCAGATTGTCAAAATTAACCTTGTTCTTATCACTGAATATCATGCTGTTCGCTGCAGATATCCAGATGATGCTTGCTCTAGCTCACGCAACTCGATCACCGTTTATCCATGGTAAGATTTTTAGCTTCTGGCATTGTAAATTTTTGTGCAGTTTGTAACAGTTCCTATACGCACCGCAAACACTCACAGCCGAGTGTAACATCGACTCTTTTGCTACCTGATTTGAAGCAGCACCTCAGAGATGTTTCGTGTTTTGGTCAGAAATTTTTCATCCAACTTCGCATTCACAGTTCGAATTGTATCCACATGGGTCAGCCAAAAAGTGACACGTTGACCACCAATGTTTGACAAGTTTTCTCCAATAGTGTTGCATAAACTAATGCCTATGTGTTTTGCAGAATTTTTCTCCTTGTATTGCGAATAACCTTGACCCATGTGCCATTGCATTCGAACCGTGAACCCAACCACGGTGCACGATTTTGATAATCCTCGTTCGCGTACCACGTGCGTATCACGTGACTGTGGTTCAGTGTAATAGAACTGGATGGACATTGGCTAATACACATTCTGAGAAATGGCTAACTCATAAAATGTGGCCAGTTGTGAAGTGCGCTTTGGTGACAGCTCCGGGTATGAGCTGAATAGGGCCACCTCACAGGGACAACTCTTTTAGACTGAATCAGTTTAGCAAATTCCAAATCGAAATCTGTTTGGGTTCTCTAATACACTCGGCGATCGTCATATCGGAGGGAGTTATGTGAGTCGACAGTGAAGCTTTTTTCCCGTGTCCACTGACACTGGCCGTCATTGCCTACGGGGAAAATGGAGAGCCTCTTGCCATCTGAAACTGCGTCCTCGGTAGGAATATTATCGGGTCCCAAAGACAGAGTAGAAACAAGTGCTCTTATATGTGGAATAGGTGAAAAACGATTGTAAGGTAAGTACTGGCCGTACCACGTTTCCTTAGGAATCAGTGATTGCTGAAACGAATTACAAGGATGCCACGGAAAGCTGATCACCGTTTCCAAACAATTAGAAACCTGACCAGAGGTAATCAGAAAGGGGTTAATTGGCGGGAGGATGATTTTCTTAGTCATCATCATCGTACAGTGATATACAATGAAGCGAAATTCACCCATCGCTGCTTGGTCAGTGCCTGAAAACGGTCTATTTATGCGTTCAGCAGTGGCTCTGTGCATTCTGTCTATCACAATGTCTGCTCTCAGTGGATCAAGTTTCGTAACAGCGGTTGCTACCACGTTGAGCGTTAATATTCAGGTGATCGGGTCGGTAACGCGTGTCAGCTATGGAGTGGTCTGCGGTTCGAACCCTGGTGGCGACAGATTTTACTCGCAGAACAGGCGTTCAGAAAAGTTTTATACCAACGGAAAAATGCAATCTTATGAACAGACATATCGTAATCTGAGCTTTAAAACTTCGGGAGATACGCTATAAAAATATATAAATTTCATAACTATAGATGCCATAAGATGCAAAAAAAACGAAAGTCTAATTGTTGGGAAAATAAACACTGAATGCTACTCATCAGTAGTCTAATGGAAACAGTGAGAGAAACATCCAATTATGAGTAGTAATTAATACCTGTGTTCGATAAGTCGGACGTTTACTGTATCTCCTTTTTCGCCGCTGTGTATCTGTTCTTCTCTCCGACTGAGATCTTTCTAAGAGGACTGCTGATCAGCTTAAACAGACCTAGTTTCGCCTGCGTTACGTAAAGCGCCGTACGGAATTCTCCAATACATGGTTGCAGTCAGGGCAAGGATCAGGAGACGAGCTAACGGAACAACTGTTTTTTTTTTCTTGTTTCATTTTGACACCAGATTCACCATAGACTTTCGGTTGAATCAGAGGGAGACGATATTCAGAATCAGTAATCGGTTCAGCGCGTAATCAAGCGGGCTTACCGCTTCACAAACGCGTAGTTTGATAAATCCATATTGTTTTCCACCTCTAACACAAACCGATCTTGGATCAGCTTTATCGTTTTCACATCGAAAACGGCTGTCCCTATAGCACGCCACTATGATTTGCTTGTCACGCAGTCCGTCGCTTGTTAATTGGTGTTGATTGACCGATTGCTCATTTGTCATGGACATTGGTAGCCCAATTGTGCCAGACTCTTATTTGTGATAGGATGTTTTTTTCTGATAACTCCCCTAATCGGGCTGAGTTAGACAGTATATTTTGGAAATTGTGTTTTGTTGTGTTGTTTTCTTGATATATATATATATATATATATATATATATATATTCAATCAATGTCTTTGGAAACCCCCGGGTGTTGTTGATCGGGTACTTTTGTTCACACACGGGTCTACTCTGACCCAGTTCACAGATAGGAAATAGCTACCTGTGCCCAACCTCGGACAGAGAGCAAGAGAGAGAGAGAGAGAGAGGAGGGGGGCTTGATCTCATGCATTTCTGTGCTCCTTCCCCCGGTACTCGCTGTTACTCTTTCGCTTGTTGTTCGTTTTGTGATTGTAACCGAATTGGACGGAAAATGTTACTTGCACGTCATCCCAATTCGGTGCATACAGATTTGTATGGCCAATTTGAAACACAGGCCATGTGCCCACATCGAACGAACGTTTGACAATGAATCATGGAGTGCGTGAGAAAAGATAGCTATGAAATTGTAGCCAATTGAGTGATGAGTTTCTTTAAAACTTTTTCACTTTCTCTCCTCAGTCCGTGTGTTGATCTGTAATCATCGTCATCGTACAGCGTATCTGTAGTTAGGTAGAAAGAAGACTAATGGTCAAGGTTATTCCACTGTTTCTAATTCCGCACTAACTGGCTAGATCTACTGACTTGATTGAATTATTTTTATCTCTTGCCGAAGTGAAGATTGGTTTGTTGGGTAGTGTCTATACAATTTCGTAGTAATAGTAGAATACGTAACGGTGTCCACAACACTGTTTAGGGGTTTATTTTACTCCGCTGTCACCCACTCTGGAGTAGGACGTTGCACCGTAGTCTCTCTGCGGCGTTATACAGGAGAATGCGCGCTAGTCGAGAAACCACATTGTACGCGTGAACACTGCACCTGAAGATCCGCGACCGATTGCTTAGTGAGCCTAGACTGTTCTCATTCAAGGTCAACCACTGTACGCTACCTTTGCATTATTGAGCTCTGCTGTCCTGTAAACCGAATACGCTCCAAGAAGCACACAAATACGAGCATTTAATTTTCCACTCGATCAACAGGGTCACATACACCGTGTGGTTTATCGACTGGATTACTGTACCTACTATCTGTGTACCATTATGTAGTTGCTCCTTTCATTACTTGGTTTGCGGTTATCCCATTGATCAACTGATTATTCCAACGGTATTAGGGTCGCTGTACCACTGTGAAGAAAACAGCTCATAGCTTGTTGTCTCATGTATTATCCTGGTTTCCCATCGCTGAATCCAAATCAGGTGACGACGACGAATTGTCATTCATGGAAGGCGACCGCATTTTCCAGGTCCAACAAATTGACGAAGGCTGGTGGTTGGGCGTGAATGCTCAAGGTCAACAAGGTCTTTTCCCGGCCAACTATGTCGAACTGATGGCCTGATTCGGCTGTCCTCTTCGGATCACGCTCCGTTTGGATTCGTTCTGCAGGTGCCCGAATAAGTTTTATCTGGTCTTCATGTTTTGATCTGATCGTGTATTACAACTGACAATGTCACACACACACATACATACACCTAGAGAATGTTCATGAAACACTTCAGCATATATATATCATTTCAATCTGTCATCTAGGCGACATTTCTCTCACCTCATTCAACCCCACCTTCCTCATCCCCGTCAACCTCACTCTGATTCTGTTAGCGTGTATACTGTAAATGCCAAAAGAACCAACCAGTACTCTCTCTCTTTCCTTCATCTCATGTGATGATTTAAAACAGCATGTGCGAAATATCATGTACCATGTGGAGTTTTTGTGTACTGCTTTTTCTCTGTCTCGTGCGCAACCGGTTTCCCCACCTCCTACCCTTTTTTTCTCCCAGTTTTTTCCTCTCGATTGTTATCATGATCATATTTGCTTAGAGCGTTTTTTTCTCTCATCACGCAACCAGTCAATCAGTCGTCTATTCACCACTACCACTATCACACGTCTACTCTTCTTACTATCCTCCAGGCTGGGAGTGAGGGATGGAGTGGGATGGGGAGTTGTGAGTTTGTAATTCGCTCGCTCGCTGACTAACTAACTAACCGAATGAATTATTTCTGTTTACAAATGCGATATTTCGTTTTGTGCTAGATGACACATTGAGAACTGCTGTCTCCTTCCCCCCCCCCGTAAACATGTGTGATAATAGAATTAATTGATCGGACGATTCGAACCGGGTTAAGGGTGGATGGAAGGGGAGGCTTGGCAGTTGTTTATCCACGTGACTAACTCCGATAGTCCTTATCCGTCTTCACGCCCCCGAGTATACTAACACTGGTGATCGGTAGTCAGAAGCGACGTACACGTATCCTAAAGGGAAGGATAGTTAATCGAACGATTGTACTCGTCAATACAACTTCTTTCGTTTGATCTTTGTGAGTTTACTGACACAATGATCAACGTATTGAGTTTATTGTGCAGATGTCGTTCATTGACAACTCGTTAGTTTTACATTATTAGGCTTCAAATTTGTTCTCCGGTGGGATGTACTTAGAGTCAGTGGAAAATAGCATTAGACACCTGTCACCCATCTTTGTTTTACCCTGTCAGCGGTTCGTAGTTTTGTCTCCTTTGCCGGAATGGGATCACGAACCTTCGTGATTAGAGTTAAAGCTCTTGCCCCAGAGCTAGGCAATGCATGGCTAACACCTTGAACGCATCAACTGATGCAAGCTGTTCATTGTTTAGACCACGGGAATACTATGATTGCCCTGGTTATCCTGTATTCCCTAATCAGCTGTCTTTTATTGTTATTACGTGACTCTCTGTACTCACCGCCTTTTCGTCACACCTACGGAACTTGCTGAACAGGTGGAACAAGCAGAGGAATAGGTAATCTGATATTTGTGAATTGCGTCTCACAGTTGTTTCATCTGGCGAATGTAGTGTGTTATTGAATTGATCGAAATCAGATTTCATAATGCGTCTTTTTCGGAAACTCCATCAATGGTTTCATATGGTACTCTGTGATGAATGCATTAGTCGAAGCTTTATTATGAGAATTGCGAACTCAAGCTTCTCTTGTCCTACAGGACATTTTCCCAATTTACTCGGTTATTGGTAAAAACGATGAATATCATATACTGTTTTGGATACAAAAATATCCAATGAAGTAACTTCATTCCATCGCTTCATGTTGTTCTACCATGTTGGTTCTCAAATGACGTGGGCTTGGTGAGAGAGAGAGAGAGGGCGTCTTTAGTGGTGCACACTAATTTACGCATGTGGTCTTCGAAGAACCAACTTGAAACGATAACTCTTCAGGTGGATGCTGGGCGACAGCGTAAGCTATGGACCACATGGATCGTTTGTATTTCACGCGCGTCTGTATCCGGACTGAGTCAAACAAATCACTTGATGATAATCTTCATAAAAAGAAAAAGAACTCCATGATTTTGTCGAGGGTACGATACTTCTAGGTGACGCAATACAGATCAGGGGAATTCTCTTAGGAAGTTCACAATCGAAGCTTTCGGCTAGCCAAAGCCGGACTCACAGTCCATTGGGGGCTGGTGTCCAGTTCATCGCATCATGCACCCTTTGTCGAACGTCCAAGGTGCCCAATCGAACGGATGACCGGTGCCACAATCAGATGTGGTTTGCGCGTCTCTCCTTGGTAGTTTTTGAATCAGGGTTTTTAGGTAAATTCAGTGGGTCACCAACCCGGATGTCTGCTTTTAGTCTTCTCATTTTGGCGGGAAAGTACCTCCACGAGAAGGTAATGAGTAGGACTTCCTCAACAGAAGCTATTTGAGACGCTTGCTTATATGGGAGCACCTCTCTAGATGCAAGGGAGAGAAAAGCAGCCGCAACTCGAGCCACCCACCCCTGAGCATACTGAGGCTTTCGGAGGCGGATGACTTAGATTGTGTATTATTCGACACACTTCAATCCAGTCTTCCTCTGGGAATAGAACTTTCTATTTGGCAGCATCCAATTCATTGCCGTTCTCAATAGATTGTTTGTGAATGTGAGAAAGTAGAGGAGAGCACCGCTGCCGCGGGTATAGAACAATCGTATCTTGGTACAGACATTTTAAAGTTAGCGGCGTTTTCGAAACGGCGATAATATCCCTCTTATTGAGTTGGAAACGCAACTTCAGTTCGGGAACTTGCTGAAAAATCCTAGGTCATTGGTGTAGTCGATCACTCCTTTGCATTTTGATTTAGATGGTAAATCTTCATCCGATTGGTGTTAAGGCTTTCCTTTTCCAGTAGAGATAGAAGGCAGACCCGTAAACTGGAGTCATGAGGTTTTCAAGTTGGACTTACCTGTCTTATTCTTTTAATTTTCCAACTAAATAGCGAAACGTTAGCATCACGGATAGTATTGCAATGCGCTTTTGGTCAAGCTGTAGTTCAGAAAACTTGCGGACCAATTTTTTCCGTTTTCTTTTGGCACTCAGTCGTCAGGTTTGAGAAATTTGAGGCACTTCAGGAGAGAAATGCAACGCTTGCGTTCTACTTGTTTGTTTGTGGCAACCTGGACGTGACTTTCAAATATGTGCTCTTCAGCAGACACAAACGATACAAACCTGAGATTCCGTGGTATGGAGGCACGGTATCACGTTCGCCAACGGAGCGAAACATTAGAGATGCGTGTACGGTTCTGCCCTATGATTGTCTGGTCCCGTTTCGCATGTCACCACAAGGGATTAAATACCAGTCTAAGGTAGCCGTTGAGCACGACGGATCTCTCTGGTTTGTCTCACCGAACAAAAAGTACTGACAATGGAGTAGATGTAGGTATCCCGTTTATCTTTCGAACTTGTGCACAACGTCGGTCAGTTGATGATATTTGCTCGTGGAAACCAGAACAATTGTCTTTTTCAGTCGTCGTTAAGTGTTTCGGCACTACCTTTATTGTAGACAGAATAACTCAGCTTTACTATCATTGTTTCTGCCGATGACAGTCTATTTTGATTTTTTTTCTCAATGTACAGTTCCGGGCACTTGCTGTTCTGAGTAGTGCCTTTCATTTTTCTCCAAGTTCCTCCCATATTTCTTCAATAGAAAAGATTTGGCGTGTACCATTTGTCTGACTCCATTTCAGATTCCTTCTGTGCTGGATACAGAAGGAGTTGAGGAAATGAACTGTTCCGTTGGCTTATAGTAGGCGGAACATTGTGTTTACCAACCAGATGTTCTTTGAGCTTTATTTACATTGAAAAAACTCCAATTAGCTTCTTCTACCTATCTGAAGCTTAATTATAATATGACAGGATAATGTCAGATAATAACCTCTGGTTGAAATCGAGAGAAACATCACCCGTATAATGAACGACAGCATGATGGAAACATGTAACTGTTGCCTCTAAGTTGATTAGATCCGATTTGTGGGGCAAGTTAATTACTAATAGCCGGCCTTTTGATGACTCCATGTTTACACTGTCCGTCTGCGTGGAGGTGTACCTTTAGAATAATAATTGAATCTTGAAAATACATTGTCCGAAGAATTGCACGCTGACGAAATGAAAACCGATACGCTGTTTGCACACACAACTATCGTTCAAACGAGTTCTTTTGAGGAATGTGAAGTAGAAAACCTAAAGGGAATCGCTATAACGTCGACCATTGCTGAGTGGAAACTACAGCGTGAGTCCTCAGCAATTTCGATCTCCGTGTGTAAACGTACGCTGAAGGAGAGTCTACTTTGCTTCAACGGAGATCACCGCTCCTATGAATTATGAGCATCTTCTCGATGAACTGAACAATAAGTCACATTTTGAGCAACGTATGTGACGAATTAACTACTTGATTAGGAAAATAACAAAACGGATTACTCCACAGTGAGAGAAGAGATAGAACTGGAAAGTCATTGTGCTCTCTGCTTTGAACCGCGTCGATCCAGCCATTGACTTTAGGAAGCGATTTGTGGGACCTAATCATCTGAGATCGACCTTTGACATTATCAATTACAGCGCTTCACTATTTTTCCTTTGACTACTTATCAAATTTAATGATGCTATTGTAAAACTACGACTACTACTACTACTGCTACTACTACTAAATTATAATAATGATAATAATAATAATGTTTCACTAAACCGGTATATATGCTGGCATGCGTGGTCCAGCTTGACTTCAGTTTCCATAATTTTCTACGGTAAATGGATTACGTTTTGTCTATGCACATTGTTAATTATTGTACTTTTTACACTGTGTGATATCCTCACGCAAGGACTAGCTCAACAGAAACCTAATTTATCTACATAAGATTTGTTATCCACTTAAACGATATACATCACCAACAACGTTCTGATGAAGCATATCTAGGATTTTCTATCTGCCGATCAGTTGAATCTTTGATTATCTCACGGTTATCGTTTTCCAACTCATTCCTTTGTTTTAACTTGAGATGGTTTTAAAATGTGAATAACCCGAGCTAATCAAATCAGA